TAGGGGCACATCGCCCGTCAAAAACCTATCATCTCCATAATGGATATACGTATGTCTGATTTTCTAATTTCCTTTGCTGCATGATGTACATTGCATTTATTCTAGCGTTAGGTAAATGTATCTTAAAGGAGAACTCATCCAGAACTACCATGATAGATATATGATAGATATAATGTATGAAGCTGGTGAAAACAAAACTGCGCAGCTTATGCAAGGAGGATCGGTTGTCAGACCTTCTTTTGTTGGCAATCGAGAAGGATGTGCCAATCATTCACAGTGAGGTTATTAACATTTTTAAAGACATGGCTAACAGAAAACTGCTGCTGTGAACAAAAGAGAACAAAAATAGCAAAAATGCTTAAAAGTTGGAAATTTGTTTTTAAACAGTAAAATCACCTGATGAAGGTTCTCAGTCATTCAGGTCAAAGTCATTCCGTAAAAATTCAAAAAATATCCACTGGACTTGGTTTTCAAGATTTGAATTCTTGAAAACCAAGTCCAGTGGATATTTTTTGAATTTTTACGGAAAGTAAAATCACCATGACGGAAAATAAGTTTTTGGATCATAATCTTGGATTTAGTTTGGGGGGAAAAGAAAGGCAAGAGACTGAAATAAATAAGACATTGACCTTCACTCAACACAGAAAAGATGAGACAATGAGGAAAAAAAGAAAAGAGAAACTGACAAGAAAAAACGAAGAGGAAAGATTGAAGAAAATGTATATAGGTACTTACAAAATACACTAAGACACAAACAGAGTACGCTTTTCTCATGGTGACATGCATTAATAAAATTTTTGCTTTTGTTCTTTTTTTTTCTGCAGTTCCACGTTAAAGTTTGATGCAGCAGCTCTGCTTTTCTGAATGGACCGTCTCCATCTCCACTGTCAGTACAGCAAACCAGGCAGACATTCTTTTTATAGATTACAGTACACTAAAAGGTTGCATTGTGCCCTTGTATGCATTTTTAACAGTTTAATTCTGTAAAGACAAAATATGTCTGGTGGTCCAGCTCTGATTTAGATGTTTGGCTAAATTGCAGGTTTGAATATTGTAATACTTTCCTATAAGAAAATAGACCTGCAGAAAGAAATTACTAATAAAATATTTTACATATGCATAGTTCTATGTTCTATGAAGAGATTTCCCTTAGCTTTGATTGTATGTCTCACAATTTTGTAATTTATCATTGTTCATTAAACTCTGAAAGCTATGTGACTTTGTTAATATTCTGTCCTAAAATGCGATAAGATGTGCCCTTTTTTTTTTTGAGCACCTGCCCCTTTAGTGGTCTCTGCACGGCCCTGCATTTTACACATTTGAGACAAAAATCCAACTCCATCCATTGGAGAATGCAAGCTTTCTGCCTCTTTCTGACTTGAAATAACTGTGTTGCTGTCAGATGGGAAGATTGTTGGTGTTTCAGACAACAATACGTAGAATCGATTCACTTCTTCCCTCAAACATAAACCCTAAATCATACATAAAAAAATTACTGTTAGGTTTCTCTAGATTGTCTTAAGTTGTGAGTTTGTGTGTGAATGGTTGTTTGTCCTGTTTGTCTCCGTGTTGCCCTGTGATGAACCGACAACCTCTCACCCGTAGACAGCTGGAGATAGGCACCAGCACCCCTCCTGACACTGCATGGGATAACCATGACAGAAAACGGATGGATTGATGGATGTCCCACTAAAGGCGCTAATTTGTAAGACCAAAAACCATTGCTGCAAAAGGTAGGTGTGCAAATTTACTCCACCACCTAAAAATGTAATCCCCTGCAAAATGAAGAATGTTGCGAACCCCACATGTCAGCGTCTCCCCGCACACAAATTAAAACGTTAAATAAATCAGCTGTTAAGCAGATGACGTTGGCCTCATCGTTTGAAAAAGCGATCCCGTATGAGAAGAAACAGAAGAGATGGAGGGAAATCACAGACACTATTTATTATCTTATTTAAATGTTTTTTAGAAGCTCTAATACCTGTGATGTAATGTGGTTTTGTTCAGAGGTTTTGGAGGTGTTCTCTAAACATGCCAATGTTCTCAAATGTATAGCTTTTTGTGCTTCTTTAAAATTCCCAGCACGTAAAGATAGAAAATAGTTCGGAGATGCCCTGATAATTATCTAATTTTTGGACGGTATTTCCATTGTTTTTTTTTGTAACGTTTGGTAAATCTCTTTTTTCATTTTGCTTTTTTGTTTTTCATTATGCACAAAAGAGACCTTTTTATATTGCATTTAGCATTGCGTGTTTTTGCTTTGTTTCCTGTTTGGTTGCTAGGCTCTTTTCAATACTGTCACCCAAAGACAAGTTGTGGCAGAAATATGACTAAAAAGCTTTGAGCTGGTTAAAATAAAATTTAATCTGAAACCAAAAGTTTGAATGAGTATACCAGTGCAATTTTATGCACTCTATTGTTTTTGAATGTAATTTCAACAAAGTGATACATATATTTTCTTCATAACGCCCAGCCCTAGCTAAAAGCATGCTTGGTGTGAGGGATTGCTGTCAAGTAAATGAGATGATGCAATCAGCTGGTTTTACTTGGATAGAAAACTTTGAATAAATCTGACTGTATGATCTGGTTGAATTGTTTATGCAAAATGACTCGAGATGACAGGTGTTGTGAAATGAGTTCAATTGAGAGATATACGCCGTCATTATACCAAACCTTTAAAGGAATAATGAGAGGAGGGATAACTCCTAGAAGTAGTCTATTATTTCTGTAACACAAAGAGAGGAAAAGGTGGAACATTTTGTTCCTATTACTGACCAATAAGTCTAATAAATGTATTTTCTAAATAACTCCCCAGTGATTGACACAAGACAAACTGAGAAAAAGCTGCCAGAAATTTTAAATCTGTTTTTTTTTTTTTCTAAATACCAGAAAATAGTGACGATGATGTTGGTGGCCTGGGAGAATCTGCAGACCAGGAAAATGGAAAACATGTTGAAATTAAGCTTCCTAATGCAAATATGTAGAAGCCATCTTGTTACTTTGTGAGCGTCACCTGGGAGGGAAGCCTCCACCCCGTGAAACAAGATAGAACATATAAAGCACTTGAACAGCAACTCAGATCTAACGGATGCTGTTTATCAGGTTTCCAGCTGAAACTCTCCAACAACACTCTGCTTCTACTGGGATCTGTGAGACGGTGAACTGAGACACTGCTCTGACCTGCCTCGCTCTCTCAGCCAGCTTCCTGCAGACGGTGGCAACGTCTCGAGCATCGGTGGGGAACCTCTGCATGAAGTGGTCCATCGGGCAGCTCTCCTCCGTCGCCTCTTGGACCTTCTGCCATAAAGACGTCACTGCGCTCTCCATCACTGACTCCACCTCCCCAAACAGGACAGGAACACGCAGAATCACTGCACCTAAAACATGTGAGAAGCATCAGTCCAGTGTTCATTGACCAGTCAAAGGCTAGGTCTGGTAAAGCAGGCCCTGTGATCCTATTTACTCCACTAAACACCCAGAAAAACCAACTGACTGACAGGAGAACTGTGGAAGGAGAGAGAAAGAAGAGGCAGGATTTTCCCATCTTAATTCCTTTGGCACAGGGAACTTCTAACCTTCCTATTTGCTGCTGCAGTTTCCCACAGTCCTTTGCTAATAGGAAGTAATAGCACAGCCTACCTCACAGATTTTAACAAAAATTCACCCTCTCTTCCCTGTTCCCTGTGGGATTCATGCCGATGTTCACACCTTCACTGTGTTCAAAATGCTGTACCCATGAAAGGTTAAGGAATAACGAGTACCATTTGCCCAACCTGACATCAGCCCAGGTCTTATTTACAGGCTAAAAAAAAAAAAAAAAATAATAATAATAATAATAATAATAATAATAATAACAGAGCAGAGCATAAGCACCACCTGCTATAAAAGTTCTGCCGAAAAGAGAGAGTAAATTGTATTTAACCGTAACCACAGTACCTACTGGACATAAAAAACAAGTGTCTAACCTGGACAATAAGAAAAAAATGAAGGTGGCTACCTGGAAAACTCCTGGAAAAAGGCTACCAGGATAGAGGCTACAAGAACAAAAACTACCAGGACAGAGGCTACGAGGACAGAGGATATCTGGACAAAGGCTACCATTGCAGAGGCTACCTGGACAGAGGCTATGAGGCCAAATACTAGACTGCCTGGAAAAAGGCTACCAGGAAAAGTCTATGAGGACAAAAGCTACCAGGAAAGACAACAGCGTCTACCTGGTGAGGGGCTACCTGGAAAAGAGGTAATTGGACAGAGGCTATGAGGACACAGGCTACCAGTACAGAGGCTACCTGGACAAAGGTTACTTTGACAAAAGCTGCCTGGTACGAAGCTACCTGGATCAGGGCTATCCGGTCAGAGGCTATAAGGACAAAGGCTACTTGG